GGAGACACGCAATTGAGTGACGACAATTTTTTTTTTTTTGTAGCGTAAGCTATACACTAACCAAGGTTGGGCAGTTTTGCGCGGTTTATCGAGAGCCGTGCTGAGCATGCCCGAGTAGTGGTGACGTCACACAGCGAGCAGCTGGCGCGCCGGAGAACAAAGAGTTTCCTGAAATTATCTATAGGGGACTCTAGCTGGCGCTGCGATCGTTCATCGACCATGGGAATGATGGGTAGTACACGGATTTGCCCTATAGGCTTCATACTTGCGGGTGGCGAATCGTACTTGCGGCTTTGTTTATTGCTGCATTTCGGTTTTTGCTTCAAAGGAAAGAACAAACCCTTTTGAACTTCGGGACCCCATATGAAATGGTAAGCCTAAAAGATTATAGCGCTTAAGCGCAACTCCTGAACGTCTGCCGAGAAATGTTCCGTGACAAAGCTGCTTAATTCAAGCCACGCGAAGTCAAAAGGAACGTAAAGTAAGAAGGCTATAGGCAAATCCGTGTACTACCCATCATTCCCATGCTGGCTGAAGCTCCGTACGTTGCAGCTCCCGTAGACACTAGCGTCATAGGTCCCTCTAGTGTGAATTTAGGAAACGCTACATATGCCGGAGAAGGCCTGGCAGCTCCTGCAGGACTGATGTGTCACTAGTGGGCTGACATTCTACTCGCGCGAGCCCATTCGCCAGTTCCTCCGTCCGTCCTGTCTGCCCGTCCGTCCGTAGCTTACGCTACGTATATCCTTGCATAACCAAGCTAAGCCACTGCTACCTAGCATAACTCGTTTCGAAGTCGACGGTAAATTTCACGTCTGATGAGGCATCCAAAGTTTCCGCCTTAAAAAGCAAGCGAAGATGACTACATCCGAGCAAATGTGACCCGAATAAGGCGGATCGCATATTGTCGTTCCTATAGCAGTCGATTAATTATTGTCAGAGTATCTGGGGAGAGGGGGGGTCAACGTTTGCCAGTTTCGGATCCTACTGCACCCTGACGTCACAATACGGTATGAGCTTTTGGTCACGTGCTACCGGAAAATATTGCGACGTCCCCACGGCCGCACCACCCCGTGATTCAGTTGGTGACGCCCAATTAAGCGGGCCATCTCGGAAGTATCGGTACCTTAAGTTATCACAATTAGCCAGACTTCAACGCGAAATCACCGGAATTAGTAGCCTGACGTCAGTTTAGTGTCGATGTCGATAGGAAGAACCATGAAAAAAAAATTACTCTAATATTTGTCTCGTCGGTATTTGCTGAGCGTCACACTTGCTCAGGGTCATCTCTGTATACATGAGATTTGTATGGTAGAGAAAACTCTCCTTCTGAAATAGATGTCAGCACACCTTTGAAGCACGACGAGAACCGGCGGATTCAGCGTGGTATGGCCGATGGCACCTTTAAATCACGAGAAAATTTCACAGGGGTGTCAGACTCACCTCAACTCACCTCTAGTAAAGGCCCCGATTATTGCGACTATTGTAACGCATGCTTACATGACCATCAGCAGTTGCTAAAGGGGGTACTTGACTCTTGAAAGTCGCATGAACTATACCACGCGCAGTGCAGCGCGTTTGCACCCGTCTCCAAGACAAATCCTGCCGACTATGCACGCTTTTTATCCTTATGTGAGGCAGCGACCGCAGTGATTGGGGAACTTCAAGCCACAAGATTGCGCGCATTACGCAAGTAGTCGAGAACGAACAGATGGATGAATGCGTTTCCGGGGTTTCATACGTTCACAAAACTATCCTGGCAAGCATGCACCTCATTCAGCACGTTAAAGAACCTCTCGCGCTGCTCGCAAGCTTCAGCGCGTCACACACAGCCGAAAACGCGGTTCCCAGCTGGGGAAAAAAAAAGAAGAAATTGACCCCGTATCTGCATGTTAATCTGCAAATGTCGTCGAAAGACGATAGCCTGGAGAGATTGCGCGAAACGTTTGTTTGGTGTTCTGCGCAAGAAAATCACGTGAATGGTATTCTGGAGGCGCTGCGTTCAGAGTGCCTCGAGCGTTCAGCGGAGGCGAACGAGCGCACCAAGTCACGTCACACGTGAGACATGAGCGCTATCTGGCAGTTATCTTGGAAAACAAAACGCGCGGCTCCGCGCACGCCCGTCTCAAAGGTGATAAGGTGCAGAGCGCAAGGCGACGGGTAGGTGCCGCCACCGTGTCGTCTTAGCAAAGCGTTGGAAACACTTCCCTTTTCGTGCAAGCGTCGCATGGTCAGCGCCACGTGATAAACGCTACGGTCCTTAGAATAACTTAGGTATGCCTTTTCTAGTAAAAGACACACATACAGAATATATACGTGTTGTTATGCTGCCTCAGATATGCGCGATGACTGCTTTTTAATTGACATTCGCACAAGTATGAACGCTGAATCTTGAGCAACGTTGGTGGGCGCTGCGGATGGGGTTGGCCGTTTGGGGCGTCCGCTGGTGCAGTTTAAAGTGCCCGGTACCGTTAAAGGTGAACAAACAGACAAATGGACAGACAGACAGACTAAAATTTTTGCTGTGAAGGTCCCCAAGAAAGACTGTCGTCTTTAAAAAAAAGTGCTCAAAATCACGAGGCGCACGTGACGTATTTTCTTTGCCCGTGCCATCCCTACCTGCTTAGCGTCCAGCGCTTTCGTCGGGACGAGAGAAATGTAATTGCAGTGTGCGACAAATCTCCACCTCCACCCGTACCGGACAGATTATGAAACTTCTTGCAGCGGTGAATTCGTGAGGCAATGTGCTTCTTTAGTGAATCCATTTCATGGCTACTCGAAAAAAAGTGTTGCAGGGCCCCTTTGAGGACAGCTGACTGGATTCCCAGTTAAGGCAAACACGCGAGAGGGAGATAGAAAATCTGGTGCGCAGATGAAATAGAATAGCCTGCAGCGATAAAGTGGCAACAGACAGCACAAGACCGGGAACGTTGATTGGTGGAACATGGGAGAGGCCTTTGCCCTTCAAAAGTCGTAGCCATGATGATGATAATGATAATAATGATAAATGTGGGTCTTCTGCAGACCCATACAGGGAGTGGGCATACATCACAAGCAATAAGCTATACGTTTGATTTGTTTTTATTACTTTTTGTCGAGGATATATTTACTATCACTTCCAATTCCTAGCTTTCAGATGCTACTCCACCATGAACTATCCGAGTGAGATTGTCCGTCAAGTGCGACACATAAAAGGTGCGGCGCTTTTTTTTTTCTTTTTTTTAAGTGTGCACTGACATTCGAAGAACCTTTGCACGGTAATTTTTTGTGTCGCCATTTTTTGTTCTTTAATGTCACCATCGCTTGCGAACTGTCAAGAAGACGGGCGCAAATACCAAATCGTAGAAGGAAAAAAAAAAGAAAACATGGGGTACAAAAACAAAGAAAGAAAAAAAAAACGCAACCAAGATCTCGTTTGTCCGATACCGTTATTACGGGGCTTCGGTGTACCCGTACCTAGCACCCGTACAACTACGTTATAGCGAAAATCCCATTTCGTGATACGCGAAAATAATCGGAACGAATGAACAAAAGAAAAAACGCAGTCTTAGGCAGGTAAATTCTGTAGGACCGTCGTTTCACGCTCACAGGAACACTCCAATGTCGAAACCCGTGATTGTGCGGTACACCAAAATAATAATCGTACAGGCGCCCCAATTCGGTGTGCACAGATTGAAGGCATTCACTACTACTGCAGTAGGTCACAACCTAATAATTATAATAAAAAAATTGCCAGCCCCACCCACAACAACTTATGAAACCAGTGAAACAAGAAAGCACATGAAAACCGCGAAAGACAACCGCGCTAGCTTGTTTCTGCTCGAAATGTATTTGTATCGTCAAATGTAAACACCACGCACATGAAAGGGTTAAAAGGCTACCCCTCGCTGAGCAGCGACGTCTGGGACCCTCACGAAATTTACCACGGCATTCATGTTTCCGACCTTAAAAACCAGCGACACAGCAGTGTGCATAGACGAAAAAAGTTGGCTAGCTGAAACACTCGAGAAGTCTCTAACGTCACGAAAATGAGTGAGCGCCATTGGCTGGAGAGCTTACGTAAATTTTCTGTGGGAGGGACAGCGATTCTTGTGGACTTGTATGCAATCGTTGTGTAACAAATGCGCACCTTTAACGTTTGAACATGTTTAGAGAGATGCCCGAACGTGCAGTACTTCCGCGGGGCAATATGAAAAAAAAAAAAACAGCTCCGGAATAGTAAAAAATAACCATGTTTTCGCTGTTTCGAGCGCGTTCCATGCACAGCGCGGGACAGGCAGGCGAAGCGACGACGCGTAGAGAAGGAAGTTTTTATTTTTGTTTCCGGCGCGACCAGAAAAGGAGGAGAAAGAAACATCGTCAAGGGAACAATCGAACACAGAATAAACAGAAACCACCGGAAGGTACGACTCACCACCGACGGTGGGCTTTTAAAGGCACGCCGCTTCGATTGGCGCTGCAACGACGTTGGGCTGCCGGACTCAAAAAAAGTCGCGTCCTAACGTCCACTCCTATCGCGAGAAACAGAATCGTTCGTTGCGTCGATCTTGCCGTCATTAGCGACGGCGTGTTTGATTAAAGTAGCGAGTCTTGCAGAATTTGGAGAGGCCGACGAACAAGACAGGGAATGGCTACACAGTAGGAAAACCACCGCCGCGACACACGTTTCGATTTGTTCGACGCCGAGAAAGAAACGCGAATTCTAGAGAAACGAGGTGTGGTTGGAGTTAACGGCGGTCTGTTCATTACCGACGGGCGATGTTTAGGGGTTCGAAACATCCGGCTTACTCTGGACGAGACGCCACGAACTCGTCAAAAAAACCACTGCTGCGACGCAAGTTTGTTCAATTTGTTCAATTCGACGTCGAAATAAAACACAGCGAAATACATGCAGACACGAGGTGTTCACGAAGTGTGTGTAGAAACGGTGAACTTGAAAGAAGCTAGAAAAAAAAAATGTGAGGACGGAACAGTAATCAAGTGAAGACGAACTACGGTACCTTGTCAGAATCAAGTTCGGGGTCCTCTTGGCATAGTCGGTAGAGGAACGACTTGGGATCGCGACACAGGGTGGTACGTGTCGTGAGGAAGCAGGTGCCGCCGACGTTCAGCTTGACCCACTGGGTGTTCTTGGCCTGCTTGGACGTCGCGCTGGACTTGGCGTTTTCGGTCGCCGACGGATTGTCGTCGGCGTTGTCGGCCGCGGAGTTGAGGTCCCGGCCCGCCATCTTGAACGATCCCTCTCTTCGATGTGCGATTTCGAGATTAAATGAAACGGCGACGCTAGGCGTCACTGACATCGACAGCGGTGCTGTTTCGTTTTCGCTTTATTTTATTGTTTCTATTTCAATTGGCGTTGCCCAACGCCGCGCAGGAGAACTTGGCGTACTTTTTCGGGCATATTTTTTGTACAATAAGTAAAGGAATACTGCTGAGCAATAGCGCAACATTTACTATGAAGCTCTATGCCATAGTTTTTACCAATCCTTAATTTCTCTTGATGTTTTTACTAGATTTGATTGCATAAATTTTAGTGCTATGAAATGCGTAGAACGTTCACTCTTATGTCTTTTGTAATTAGTCGCAGTGTGCATTTATAGTAATTAAAAGCCCGTCATGACCACCCTGAAGATGCCACGAAACTTCCTTCCTCCATGCGATGAAACCACAAAAGATAACTCTTTGGCTCGAATTCTGGCTCCGCCACAGACCACATCGAGTCGAGACAGGACGAGCCATCGTCAGGTTAGTCGATCGGTCACCTTCCTTGCGTGAAACATGGCTGCTCGAAGGATCGCAAAGTCCTCCGTCGACTGGGCCGCCTTCGCCGAACGCATCCCGTCGAACCAGAAGCAATCCTTCCAGGCCTTCAAGGCGAAGTCCGATGGCTACCTTCGCAGGTTCGTGGCTGGGAGATCATCTGCCCCTGTTCTCGACTCGGCCAGCTCGGGGTCGCCCGCTTGCCGACTCGTGGGGTGGGGGGGTGGGGGGTGGGGGGTCAAAACTTTTTCATCGTGCGTTCGTTTATATATTTCGCATCATTTAAATGCGCCTGCTTCTCTCAGTGTAGTCATGAAGCTGCGCAAACGTATTTCCTGGCAATGGTTTCTGTAATCAGGTGTTCAACAGAACTCTGCCGCTGTTTCAGGTTGTGCCGGCCGTCGGTTCAGAAAACTCGGTTGGCTGTGCGCTACAGCAAGCTAGTATGTGCCAAGCAGCTCGTAGCATAGGCATGCATATCGCACTATAGCAAGGGGGTAAGCCAGAAAAGGGAGGGTGATAAGGTAGGAAACGATGATTGAAGAAGACAAATCAAGTCACGGACTTACATAGTCATTATAGTTTAGCAAGAAACTTAACATAGCCAGCAATGTGAGTGGAAAGGAAAGGAGGAACGAAAAGAGTACTATGGTAAAGCAGGGCATAACATTGTGTCGATTGGGAAAGGGAATATAGTTTGAGTATCGAAAGGAGAGGGGGCAATACAGAAAGAAAGTGTAGTGAAAGATGAAAAAAAAATTATGTGACAAGAAACTCGATCTGCTTTCCTCAACTGCGCCGTTTACTCGGATTTCACGGGCGTGCAACAGGCTCACACGCTTGTACTTTCCCAGGGTCCTGAGCATGCCCGAGAACCCGCCTCCGATCGACTTCGCCATGTACCGGTCCCGCTTGGCGAACCCTGCTCTCGTAGAAAAGTTCGAAAAGTCGGTGAGTGGTCAAGCGTGGGGGCTGCACAGAGCTGTTGTAGTCCAGTGTGGTGCGATATGTAGGGAAAACAAAGTGGTGGGCATTGGAGTTCAGCGGCAAAAGTGTTGTGCTACCAAACTCTGTTATGCGGGTTCAATTCTCAGCCATGGCAAGTGGCTCCACCAAGGTGAGGGGGTGCAATAGTAGTAATGGTAATAGTACTAATAATAAAATCACTATCCAAGCACTCAGTGCAGATGCTTAATGAGCGAAACTGAAGCATCTGGCCTCAGTCTTTGCCACGAGCAGTAATCTATCCAAGTTGCTTCTCCTGTAGCTTTTGAGTTCTCTGTCACCGCAGTTGATATGCGTGTGCTTTAATCTTCACGTCTTGTGGCAGCTTGACCTTTTGTGGCTTCTCTAATATTCTTGACATGGTGATTTAAAAACTGACTGTGTTGTGTATTGATATAAACTACAAAGAAATACTATGAAACACGTTGCATCAATATCAAGCCAGCAGTTTACTGAAACAAAGTGAGACTTGCTGCACAGACTCGTGAGAGTGTTTTCAAAAGTGGGAACAGAGTGTCATGCTATCTCATAAAGGCGCCACGTGACGATTGCATCAACAAGTATTTTGGGATGAAACTGCGGAAGAAAGTGGGACAGGGGTCTCGTGCTGCGATGGGGTAAGTTGTGCGGACTTCGTTTCAATAGGAAAGCGCCACATGTAGTGGCACCTCTGATGAGCTTTTGAAGTGCTTTTGTCTGTTCCTGTGAAGCTTCACCACGTGCCGGAACCACTTTTTAAAAATATTTGTTAATTTGGCATTCCTTGCTTTCGCTGTCGATATTGTTGAGTACAGATGCTGTGTCTCAACTTGTGCCTACTTTCGCAGATGTATATGATGTCAAGAAAAATATTTTCACGCATCAATATCTGAAATCGAGCTGAGAGATGTGGGACAATTTTTGCAGGGGATTGTTCCGTTGCATTCGTTGTTACGGGAACTAAGTGAGAGGTGAGCGAAAGGCGTTTTTCGCAGCCTTTGACTGTTACGGGGCCCACTGGTCGCCAGCACCTGCTGCATGTTTCTTATCCCTATATTCTGATATGCTGTGGAGTCTTTTCAGCTCATCAAGAAGATGGGCTACTTGAGAGTTCATAACACACACAGTTGCACTGTGTGTCCATCTTGCACTTTTGCCATCCGTGTGGTGGTTCTTTGTGCTACTGGTCAAGCTCTCCGAAGCTTTGCTTATACCAGTATCCCTCAGCGCGTGGCTTCTTGAGTTAAGGCTTCCTTTTTTTTGCCTTTCAGTACAAGGCCTTCAGCGTGCCTTTCCCGAAGGAGCACCTGACGGCCAAGATTGATGCTCAGGAGCAGGCTGCGGTGAGTGCCCCATTCTCTGTACTAATTTTCTGCTTTTGAAATGGAGCACACTGGACTAATTAAGGAAGTCGAGTCCTTGTAACTCTTTGCGGTTCATCACGTGGCTGCACAACATGGCTGCAGCAGTTCGTGGTCAGGCACTGCTGGACAAATTCTTTTGCGGTTGATTTATGCACGTGTTTTCTCACTGTATTACACGCAAAGCTGGTTATAACAAAGTCACACCTGCCATGAAAATACTTTGTTATATCCGATATTTTGTTGTAAACATGTATTCGTAGCACTGTATCCATGACAACGATATTCTTCACTTACTTTGTTATAACGAATAATTTGTTATATCGAGGCTTGATTGCATGTGCAATATATGAAAGTGTAGATAAACATCTTTCATTTGAGCTCAGAGTCTTGGAACAGAACGGACGGAAGGTGGGAAAGGGTTTGTGATCGCAAAGAATTAACATTCTTTTCACGGACACCACGAAAAAAAAAAGCATTGTAGCCGGGAAACGTATAATGCAAGTGCATTGCCCGAATTCGGCAAAAATTGCTGCTGTGTTATAAAAATCATCAACATTGCACTCAGCTGTACCATATCGTGAAGGCTTTTTAAGTGATCTAGCAAGCGCTGACAAAGAAGAGGGAAGAAGGCTGGACGTGCACAAACTCACTGCTTCGTTAGTTGCAAAAGAAACCTGTGACACACGGGGCATCGGTGGAGCCAGTGCTTTGACAGGTGGTCCTGTCTCGTAGAGTTGAGACCTTGAAGGTGAAAGACCGCTTGACCACAGCGACACATCGCGTTCCAAAGATTCTTCATTGCTTCAAAGTTTTCATTTTCCCCCAGACCTCTATCTCATTTGAAATTCATCAGTTGCGAGAGTATGCCTGGCCGTTCGTCTTTGTTCATAAGTAGAGCCCTTTTATACGGCCCCGCCGCGGTGGTCTAGTGGCTAAGGTACTCGGCTGCTGACCCGCAGGTCGCGGGTTCAAATCCCGGCTGCGGCGGCTGCATTTCCGATGGAGGGGGAAATGTCGAGGCCCGTATGCTCAGATTTGGGTGCACGTTAAAGAACCCCAGGTGGTCAAAATTTCCGGAGCCCTCCACTACGGCGTCTCTCATAATCAAATGGTGGTTTTGGGACGTTAAACCCCACAAATCAATCAAGCCCTTTTATACGAGACACTCATGTAAGAGACAGATTGGTATGAGAGACACCAGTGTGCTTGCATTGAAATATGTGTTGATAGAAAAATGCACACATGGTACCCTGCTTATTAGAGATGCCTCATATAAAAGACGGAAATGATTCCCGGGTGCATGTCTGTCATATGACTTCAACTGTATTAGCACAGCCTGCGTGATGAATATCAAACAACTTGGCGGTATACTTGATCTCTACCTTGGAAGAATTTATTTGTCAGTTCAAGGCTTACAGAAGTCTCTAACGGAAGTCTCGCAAGAACTGTCATGCGCAACAACAGTGATCCAGGTAGCCCTGTCGTTCTGTTGCTCAAAAAAGGATTGACAGTAACAAACTGGCCAACTGCTAATATTTGATGAATGGAAGCTATTCGCTATCAAACATGAAGGAACCCTTGGTAATTTTCTGTAGAGAAAAAGTTTGCCTGTACACTTTATGTGGTGTTAGTTCAATTTGTTTGTCTAGAAGGCTAGTTCATGTTCAATTCTTAAACCATTAGTTCGTTGTTTGCACTTTTTACTTTGTGTGGCTTGTTTTAAACGTGACGGTTGTTTTCTGCACAGAAAGAAGAGGCTGCAGCTTTCATTTCGGAGTCAAAAAGCCGAATTGAAGAGTACAAGAAAGAGGTGCGTGGTAGTTTTTTTTTTATTCTCAGTGACATATATGGGCGTGAGTAAAAGTACACAGACTACTGGATCACATGGCAGAATGTGTTGACGCACTATTTACTGACACAGAACCTGCTGTTAAGAGCTCCTGCCAAGACGGGTGGCCTTTCATGCCACATTGTCTGACGAGGTTGTGGCACTTGTAAATGAAATTTCAACTGGGCGCAATTTTCTGTGCTCCATCACGTCTGTGCTGTTGTAGACTCACACGGAACGTTGAAGGGACTAGGAAATCGTTTGAGTAAACAGGAGTCCCATTTATCAAGATTTAAACAGGTGTGCGGAATTCAACCAGGAAACCAACCATATTTGAGACATTTCCACTTAAGCGACGATTTCGTTTAGGAAATTTTTATTAACCGAGATTTAAATGATCCAGTGCAACAAAGCAATTGAGCGTTTCTCGCCGTTTTTAATTGTTCAGTGAGAACGAGCTTAGACATTGGCAGCAAGAGAGTTCAATCAGCGAGCACGAGCTCATTCCGAGGCTTGGCGGCGATTGTTTAAATTGTGCTCTAAAGCCAGTGGTTTTTGTTGCTGCTCTTTTTTTACTTAGCTGGCAAGGTTCGAGGCCATGATCCCGGCATTGCACATGACCATGGAGGACTTATACGACTACTTCCCCGACCAGAGGATTGACGTCGACAACCCGACGTACTGGCCTCACGACGGCAGCGCCGACGCTGACGACAGTCTGGACTACGCGGACCAGGGCGACGACCACTAGACCACTCCAACTTGCGTGCCGCAGTCATCGCGGACACGTGGTTCACTTAGTGCGTCTTTGTCGTGCTTAGCGACTGTGAGCCGAGCGTTTGGGAAAGATTGAATTAAAGAGGTTTACACTAGTAGCGCTGTGCGGTTGGTGATTCTTAGCTGCAACACACACAGTTCTAGGTTAAATGCGTTAGCGTAGACCTCGACGTTGAAGTGGTGTACAAGTGCCGTTGGCGGAGACGCCTGGCAAGTAATGCTGTCGTGTATTGTTCATCGTGCTTAATTTCAGGCTTCATTGTGAACTTCTTTACAGTGCAACACTAGCAACGCAGACAAGGAAGAAGCAAAAGAGAAAGAAAAGACTGCTCTTTCCTCGTCTGTGTTTCTGGTGTTGCGCTGTAAAAAAGTTCACAGCGAATCCCAACCAACTGGCCCAACTTACTACTACTACTAAACTTCGGGCTTCAGAAAAATTTTTTGTACCCATGCGAAGCAACAAAAAGCCAGTTGAGATTTTTTTCATGAAGGCCTAGTTGTCTGAAGACAGTTGCTGTTGTAACTTTTTAAGTGACGATTAAAAGTTACCACTTATTATCAGTAGGCACTGTGCCTCTGCCAATGCAGCCGTGTTCGGGTAGAGTGCGGTGGATGCGAAGTCACTTTTTTGCCAAGCGCTGCCGGGACTGCTTGACCAAGCGTACATGACTCGGCTGCTTGAAGCTCTTCACTATTTGAGGCTTTCGGGGAAGGAAAATAACTGCAGCACTGGCCTTCACCTGATGGCCCGTTTGGTTCCAAGTTTATTTTATTTTTATTTACAAGCAGTCTTGAATTCGAGACATAGCAGGTGTGGGTGCATATTTTAGTACAAACAACTAAAGAAACGTGACACCAAAATTTGACAAACAGATAAAAATATGGTATGCTTACATAAATGTTCCAACATAATTATTGATCAGGTGCGAGTACCGATGCTGATGGAAAAACAGAAAAAGAACAGCCGTTAAGATGATACAAAATAGCTTAAAACAAGCTTTGGGTACAATGTGGTGTGTGGGTCAGCTAAAAAGTTGCGTTTTGTGTGGTTGCGCACTTAGAACTGCCTATTTTGAACTATCCTGGAGTGGCTGTCGCAAGTAAAGGTTTGAAGTGCTCACTACATCGCAATTCATTATCCCCGGATTATGAAAGTACCCATTGCTCGTCCGTAAGGTAGTATGTGCATCTGTACAGCTGCATGCTTTGTTGATGGCATTGCTGGTGATGACGGTTAATTATGCTCCTGCACTTCGTGATGTGTGGGCCTGTAAACGACTCATTTATTGGATAGTTTTTACAGTGCAATTCTATGGTAAGCTTCTACGCTTCTGTGATGCAGTGTTATGTACGTAAATGTGCCTCCTTGCACTGGACAAGAAAGACGTAGGGCTTTATTTCCAAAACGGTTTTAAGCACTGGCATGGCTCTATTGTACAACGCGTACCACGTAGAAGGTATAGGCTCGATTCTGTCTTGGACCCGCTATTTTTATCGCTTGCATCCATTGCAGTTTTTCAGTCGTGCACAATGCTGCCTTTTTGCTCGTAACCAACTATGCTGACACCGGCATTACTGCGGAACAAGTGCTTTAAAGGGACGCTAGAGAAGAGAACGATTTTTTTGTTACTGATGAATGACTCTGTAGCGAGACGTGACAGACATGACGGCGACCAACACGCTGTGCCAGTCTTGCTTTACTCCTGGTAAGGAGTAAACGAGACCTTCAGCAAGCGTAAATTTTGTGGTTACCCACGCAGTTGTTTAGTAAATTTGAATAAACGCCGGCGACGCACCAATGTGTCGAACGCTGAACCGGCAAGCTTTGCATTGTCAAACCGCTTAGCCTTTTTGGCGTCTCCCTCCAGCCGAATCACTCGCGAGGTGACTACAGGTGTATGCTCCAATAGACATGAATATTATTTGTGATGCAATCGTACAGAGCTGCAGGTGCAAACTTGTGTCGTGGAAATGTTGAGCTGATCAGAATTGCTTCATAGAGCCTTTGCCGTCTATCGACCTTGAAACCCGCAAGACTCTAGGGCCTTGCGGATTTCTACATGGGATGCCGTTCTTTCGTTCAGTTTTGGCAGTATCGCACATGCCAGAATTGGAAAACAATAAGGGTTGAATCTATTGCAGATACGCTCGATCTACTGAAAGGAGTTCACCACAATTGACAATGCACTGGAGATTGGAGCTGCACAACAACTCACAAAAGAAACAAGCCAAGCGAGATGACAAGCCCGATAGCGAGAAAACGTTCGGCAACAATTACCAAGCTCGTAGCTACTAAATAAAATAGCCGTGCGATGTTTGTTGCAATAGATATTCGCTTTTCAGCTGTCTTCTACTACTTTGAGCTCAATAATCTAAAAACCATGCTTTTCACTACCTCATTACTACCATTATTTCCAGCTTGTTCTGAAATAAATGTAGAAAAAAATGGTGCACATGTTATGCAGATAGTATCCCTTTTACTTGCCAAAACAATGGTTCCTCAACATGGTCAACAATGAACGGATCGTATAGGGCTAATCCTGCACTCTCGATTTTATCTCGTTAAACACTTAATTGGGAAGAATGCAATGATATAAGAGTGTGTATCCCAACACAGCAATGATGACAAACATGGGGTGTACTTAAAGGCATATTTTATTATCTTTATGTACATTAAGAAAAACGGGAAGGGACAAACATCTGGAAAACATTGCAACAACAAAACAACTTTGCCAACTGATGTTTTTCAAACATCAGTTTAAAGAAATTATCAAAAAAGAAACCAACAAAAACAACATTCACGAAGCTTCCCAAGCTGTTGCAGCTGTTCGCTGTCAAAAAAAAAAAAATCTAACATAACTATGTATATATGTATATTTATATATTTAACTTGTACCTTCAATACTGTTTTCCGTAACAAATAACATACTTTGTTCTCTTGTAGCTGTCCATTCGTTGCTTGGAAAAATTGTTTTTTTTTTACAAAAGGATGAAGAACAATGCATGCGTCTGTCGCGGTACATTCGTGAGGGATACAGTTTCGCATTCGCTTGTACCACAAACGCTTGGTCCCAAAACTTTCCTGCTGTCTCCGAAAGCTCGCTCGGAAAGCAGTCGTCTTTGCCGTGCGAGAACCACGAGATGCACGCGGCGGAATCACACCGCGCAGAGCATTTTTTATTTTTTTTTGCCACAACGCGAAACGATTCTAGCCACTCCACAGTTATGTGGACAAGTCGCTGGTCTCACATGAATCACGGAATGAGAGAGGTAAAATTAGAAGGGGTGATAGAAAGCCTCTGCCTCTTAAAAGTTCTGTACTTTCCATAAACTCTCACCCTCAAACTATATACTAGAAAAGCAATAGAATGGGAAAGCTTCAGACAGACATGGCCATAGCTGGCCTAATGTTGAAAACAGGGCAAGGAATGTGAACATAGCGGGAATGGTATTTTTTGTAGTGTTACTTTCATTTGCACCTGCCGCATTTATTCTTTTTTTTTCATCAATGCCCTAGACGCTTTTTATGCCAAGACACTCGCCAACGTATTTGATTGTACTTAGTTGGATTTTCACTCAGCCACACACAAACATTCACAGTTTTGATAGATCTTTGATGTACTTATTGTACAATGTGAGAAGCACTAGCAAGCAAGGAACGATTATGACACAACCGCGGTCTTTCGACGACCACGCTAAACAGTCGGCAAATATATAGTTCGTTGGTTTTACATAGGAATGCTACGTCAACTAAAACTGGGGACTCTCTTCACACATCAGGTTTTCAAACTTCATCACAGAATGCACCTAGAAGACTTAAACATGCTTTGTATAGTTTATATAAACCTATCTGTGCTTTATTCATTAGATTAAAGATTAATTTATGCGCACGTAAATCAGTACGTATCTCGCGTCATCCAATGCTCCGGAGCATTGCCACTGGGTGCGAAATAAATTTTCTGGGCTATTAGATGAGCGCAACTGGACAGAACTGACATCGTTCGCTACGCGAGTGCAGATGCGGCGTTTCGTGTGGAGTATCTGCCACACAATTGTAACACTCGCATAAACCTAACTTTTGGCTGTATGGTGATATCACATTTCCACAAAAAAATTCATATTATGAAATGTTCGCACTGTTATAGTATTTAGCAGGTGCCACAGTACCGCCGCATCCTTCAGTTTCTCCAAAGCATTGAACTCAACGAAGCGATTCACAGCTTGTTCTCGAATGCAGCAGTTCGAACGAATCAGACAGTGATTGCAGTTCAGAATTTCTTTTTGTACATACACATTTCCATAATTGAAACACGCAGAGCCTAGTGAGTTAGCCAAAGAAACATAATAGAAAATTACGCAATTTCAAATGATTGTCAAGACGCGTCAGTTATGCTGGGGGATGAAACTGCATAATTTCAGACTAAGTGAGACTCGTTTCAAAAGAAGGTTACCTAGAATAAAACCCATTCAGTCTTATGTGACATGTGTTAACGGTCAAATGATAAGTATTGCTTGCAAAACACTTTCTTTGGGTGGCAGTCGAGGCATTTATCCAGCAGTATTTCATGTTTATTTTTTTTACTCGCACATAATGAAGTCATATTGCTCTTGCAAAAAAACACATTTTTAAGTGGTATAGAAGAAACTCTAAATTATTGCCTTACCGAAAATTTCTATCACAGACAACTTCCTCTTTCTGTCACCTGCTGCTGCAGATGGAAATTTTCAAAACGCGAGATAAAAAACTTGGAAACAGTGAGTTAGTGGTTGTACTACAGTAATTTTAGAAGTTGTACCAGTATTGCATAACAAATATAACGATTTATATGTATAACAAGGACACTTGCATGCCAAGAATGCAACAAAATTAGCCAGATCGTCACTCAGACTTGAGTCACAAACAAAATATTTCTAAAAATAAGCTTGTCTGTGCCCGAATTTTGTTTGTCGGAAGCTTCTGTTAGACTGTGCAAACAGGTGCCCAAATCAACAAACCATTCGCCGAAACGGCAAAAATTTTCACAGCCTTACATCACACACTTGAAACTATATCGTAGACTAAACATAAGTATGGCATGCAGATTTTGCTTCGTGGAGGCGAAGAAATTGCAGGGCTGATCCTTTGCTGAATTGAGTGTGAGCCTTTAGTCAGACCTTTAAGCTTGAAAAAAGGAAACTGTTGCTTTATACAAACTAGAGTCTGAACCACCTATAGGAGACACTGATGTAAGAGACATATGGGTATAAAAGACACCAGTGCGCCTGCATTGAAATGGGGGCTGATAAGAAAATGCATACTTGATACCCTGCTTATGAGAGACACCTCATGTAAAGAAACAAGGATTGCTCCTTTGTGCATGTCTCTTATAAAGGAGTTCAACTGTATAAGTAGTACAGCTAGCACTCAGAATATAACTTCAAATGACACATCGTGACACGAAGCATCATGAGAACTACCTAGGCAGAATCGCTGACTTGACTTCTCTGGTGCTGCTACGAATCCTACTTTGTGAGTCAGATCAGTTACGGTCGAAGAACGAGGCTGCCGTGTTCTGACAGCGTACGAGTGACGAGCACAACTGATGTGGGCGAAAAGTTCGGCACCTCTGTACGACGTTACCACAAAAGTAAGTGGCATAGCGAGCCTTCGTTGCGAGAAAGCAGCCTGCAGTTGCAATAGTCACACGGCACGCTACAACCGTACTCGCCACGAGAACTCTGGTCTCTATTTAATTTAGAGCGGGAGGCACACAACATTTCAACATTGGTCCACGGTTGCCATTTATCATTGGTCCAATCAGCAATATTACACCATTGGCGTTAACAGTGGAGTCCTTCGCTGCGGTGATAGCGCAGGTTCTAGCGTCACAGAAATGCAGGCTCGCTCGAACATGCCTGCATTTCTGGATGCACAGAGTGTCTGGAAAGCATTTCAAAGTGCATGGAATGAGCCTTCCGTTTCTGACAAGTTGGAACTGTAAATATAAAGTACACTGATTCTATGCACATTTATGCCAGTGCAAAATGAGAAACCTGTTTTCTGGACTGGTTCTACGCACATTTATGCGAGTGCAAAATGAGAAACCTGTTTTCTGGGCTATGTGGAAATTTAATTATTAGCCTTTCCCGACAAGGGCATTGAAATCTCTTCATCAACACTTGGCAAGAGGTGGAGGGCCTTGAAGCACTGGCTATCAGTTAAAGGCAATTGTAGCGATGTATTAAGGTTTGTGTTTGTCCGCAGAAATTACACAGAGACATTTAACAACACTGGTTGAATGCTCTGGAAAGGTGTCGCAAAACTTGTCATTCTCTCGTCGGAACTTCCCCGTTTGACAATGGGTCAGCCCACTATGGTTGTTTCACGCATGCATGCAGATAAACGAAAAAAAGAGACAGTAATAATAGATTTCAAAAGCTACCACAAAATGCATCCGAGTCGAGCGGCGTATTTACATGAGCAATCATTATATAAGGAGCGAGCAACTCTCTCTTCAGCCGATGCTGCAGAATCACGCTCGATCACATCCTTTGCATAGCACACAGCAATGGCAATAGATAGCCCATCTACAATTAGGCCAGACGCTGTGTGTCTTTGTTCGTCGTTCACCATACTCGTGGCGAAATCAGGTTGTGCCTGACTGCTGTGTGCTTATGTTTATAAGGACCTCCCACTGTGCTAGAGCGATGTTTGTCCTTGTGCCACGCAGAATGGTGCCGTTTTCGGGTGAGCCCGCTTACAAGCACTGCACCTTGTCAACACTCTACCTGCGCGGTTAGTGGCCTTGAATAAATAGGTTCCTCAAGTTTGCCACGTCTTTTGTATTGCATCGACCGTCGTAACAGAATGTAATCGCAGCTGCTGTATGTTCTCTTTCGGCCCTCTGCCTCAGTTTGTCTGCACGATTAAGTAGAGAAGATAAAGAACGGTCGTAACTCAATTTAAAAATTGTAAACAACTAGCTACAATTAGCTTACACAACTTATCTAAAACAAGCCTACTGGTCCGCGGTTGTTGCAGCGTCACCGCAGAAAGTTCACTGGGATATCGCGGTCACATGCAACACAGCGCCAGATGGTGTTATCAGCCACACACGATGGCAGGGCAAAGACGCATGCCCGCTGTTGCCACGAAGCCCGTGGGATGCATTTCCGATGCTTTCCACTGGAAACCGCTCCTTTCGTGCTGAATGACACTTTGGCTGTGGCACTTACGTCACAACGTCTTTGCGACAGTGTGTCCATCACGACATTTCCATCACATCTCCGTCACTGCAAGTCACATCATTGCGGCATGGGTGACAACACGCCGTATGCACGGTGTGCCCTTTTCACCGGGACAATACTTGACCCAAAAGTTTGTTCTCGCGACGTTTCGCTGACAGTGGGCGTGCCCCAATAGGCTTTCACCGATAAAAGAAAGTGTCCTTTCTAACTTCTAAACAAATGCACTTTTTCCGTAGCCCTGATTCAACGTCACGTTGCTTCACACAAAGTAAACAGGGAAGCGGGGCGTGTCTGTTGTGGAGCGAACGACGGAGTCTGGTTCAGTCCTCGCCAAGTCATTGGAGAGCACAAATTAAAAAAATATGGAAACTATACTTGAAAAGAACAGTCAGTATAGGTTACAAGCTCGCGTCGGACTCTGTACTTCGAAGAAAACCACCATGGCTGCTGTCAGTCAGAGCCCATCGGCGACATCACGCCAGCGAGCGGTTTCGCATAAGCTTGTCAAGGCACTTTTGGTGGAACACTACGTTCACTTCATTTGGCTGCGAGGGCCAGTGCCGGTGCAGAACCGTCGCAGCTGTCCTACTCAACTGACGAATCAAAGGCGATCACCAACAACGTGCGCACCTTGTCGCATCACGTCTTGCCAAACGATGCAGTCCTCAGAGTCGTTCATCAGTCGTAAGACTCCCGTGCGGAGCCTAAAGATGGTATATCTAAAATAGAACAAAGAAAGAAAAGCGAGTGCCATCATGAAAGCAAATCACATTGGGCAACTCACTAATACCTTGCAAGCTACGATTATGTTCCCACCTTATTTATTTACCTATGTTATATCTGCTTACATGTCAACATGACGTATCTCTTTTTCTTTCTTTATAAGTGATTTCACTTTAATAGTGTCTGTACTGCTATGAATCCCTCTAACGATGGCAGTGGGCTCGTCAAGCTGTCTACAGCTTTCGTCTGTTGTTCCTCTGTTCCTTTGAGTAGATGAAATAATGATTCATTTATTGAAAAGTATGCATTCGGCATGTAAACTTGAAATGTGTAACAGCGCCTCTTATTACAAGAATGAACCAAAAGCGTTTCAAGGGCCACATTTTTGAGACCTACTGGAATGTAAAATAGCCTAACAACAGACTCTGTGCAGAAAATACTAGCGAAGCTTCCTGGAACCCTTTCCTAGGACGATAACATTTCACACCTTGCCAAAGCTCCCTGGCCTCAGCATTATAACGACTCCTGCGTGAAAAATGTTAGCGCAGTTTCGCCCATACTGTTTGCTCGAGCTGTCGCGCTGCCCGCAGCTCACCAAAGCTCCTTGGGCAGTTGCAAAGGTATGAGGTGCCCGGCGGTGTTGAGGAACTTCTCTGGCGTCACCCTCTTGAAAGCGGGATGCTGCTGCTGCTGTTGCTGCTGCTGTTGTTGCTGTTGCTGTGTCAGACTGGACTGGTTACGGTCGTCGATGGTCATTGCCTGTAGAGGCGTGCTCAGAGTGACCATCCGCGGCGCACTGCGCAGCATCCGCTGGTACTCGTAGAAGTCTCGCGCGCTGCACAGAGGGGTCTCAACCTGAAAACGAACAAATAGTATGCCCTGTTGCAACCTAAAAAAATGAAATATGCCCTCAAGACCCTGGCATGCGTGCCCATCATCTGTGGTATATGGTCACGCTAGCCGGTTCCTACTTGACCCATTAGTCCTTTTTCTCAGCTAAGGGAGAGAACGGGTACTTACATCCAAACCTCTATATAACAAAACCAGATATAACGAATTATTGCTTATAACAAAGTGTGTAAAGAGTACCTTCGTCGTATATACAGTGTTAAGAATATATGTTTAGAGTGAAGTTTTGGATCTACAGAAGTATTCTCGTGGCACATGTGACTGTTATAGTGAGGTTTGAGTGTACTTACAGGGTGGTAGAGAGCTCCGCTTGAGCGATAGTTTGTTCTGGCCTGCTACTCTGCTAATCTAAATCTTATGCTTAGCAAGAATTCAAGTTGTTACTACCCAGAACATTTCGCTCAGGTGAGTGATGTTGGAACCCCCGACAAAATTTACGAGGGTGTTCTGTTCCCCCAACACAAACATCTGTGCGTATGAGAAAGTCCGCTATCTTTGCTCGTCATTTACAGCCTTCACAGTACGACATTGTTACCGCCTAGTGACTTGCGGTGATTTCACTGGTTCTGTGGTAGGAACGCTTTGTAAGCTTTCGCGAGTGTGAGAAACAACACCCTCTGTGTTTGACATGTCGCACAGATGCGACCTCGTGAACTCTTGGTTTTAACCGACCCGAAGTCATACACGTGGAGACCACATCTTGAACTCTCTAGAACAGCTTGAAGTCACGACAATGAGCAAATGCTATTGGGTGGAGCAAACATGTGAATTCTTTGCAAGAGGCACCCACATGGCTGGGGGCAGAGGTGATGCTTAAAAATTTATTTATTTACTTACAAACACTGCTGTGTCGATAGATGAGACATAGCAGGAGTGGATATATGAGTTAGTAAATTAAACAGCAATCGTACAGTGCATGCTAAATGTATTGCAATATGGGCCTCTACTTTTGCGTCGTTCTTAACTGTGTAGATCAAAGTTGTCCTCACTTCTTCTTCTTCTTGTTATTATTTTGCTTTCCCTATGATGAGTGGGTACAGAAAAGGGTCATTTTTTTTTGTGTGTGCACGTCTCATTGGCAGTTATCAAATTGAAAGAAAATGTAGGAGCATTGCAAGATAGAAAACACACTCAAGCTCTTCCAATATCTGTGTACGGCCAGTGGTAAATGGTGTATCTAAGTAGCTCGCAGTTCTTACGTCAGCGCACACATGGCGCGTGATTGAGTTGTACTATAACACCCCATGCTGCGGAGCAAGGAGTCAGTGGTTCTGATCCTCGGTCGGCTGCTTCAAATTTTTTTTCTTCTGATTTATTTTTCTTTGTGCCATTTTATATACATGTGCATGCATATACGTATCCGGGACATGACGGCGACGACAAAATTCTTTAAAAGTGACCATATAATTGTTATCGTAATAAAAATAAGTAAAAAGTTAAGAGTTGCTTTAACTGACCTAACAATGTAAAGCTACAGTGAAGTAGGGGGAAGCCTCAACAATTCAAAGTGATGTAAATCTAAGTGAAGATGGGCATGGTTCATCTCTGAAGGAACCTTCTCTCTGCTCAACTGTCTGATTTCGTCTAACCTCCAACTCACATTCCCCTTTCACTCACCTCTTCTACACTGTGCTATATAATCTCCTTCCTCCTTTACCTCCTCAAGCTCACTTACTTTCCATGCCATTATGCTGTAGTATATGTGTCTATCCTATGAAATACCCTCTATGCTCCTCCCACCCTTAGATCACTCCTCATCACCTCTTGCTAAACTATGTTATGCATGGCTTTACTATTCTTTACTCTCCCTTCTCCGTCTTTGCTTCTACCTCACCTTCAACTCTCTTTCACACATGCTTACTGTGCTATACTATATGCCCATGCAATGGTTCACTTTCTTCTCTACCCTTCACCATCCTTTGCTACATCGTTGATTTTCTTTCATTCTCTTTCCTCCTCCTGAACCTCTATTGCCAAGCTTCAGACGTAACCTTTCCCGTTCGGGCTTCGCTCCAACATCTCCGCTGTAGAAAGAAATGAATCGCCACCCACCTCGTAGGTGTTATTGAACTTGCTGTAGTCCACGAGGTACTCCGATGAGTCCTTCTGAAAGCGCACAAGCTGCTCGAAGCGGTGGCCCCACAGGAGCTCAGATGGCAGGTAGGATGACCTTGCCTGGATGGACTGGCCCGTCGACTCGATGGTGCCCTCGAGGATGACCACAATCTCAAACTTCTCGCGCAGCACGTCCTCGGCCGACATGTTGTAGAACGGGCTCGTTTCGTTGATCTCGTGCACGATGGTGGCAGGCCAGATGAAGAGGATGCTGTCCGTGCCCGCATCAAAGCGCACGTCCAGCTGCGTGTGGTAGTAGGGGATCACCTCGCCCTCTGCGGTCACCTGCGGATGAAATTTACATGTGTTGCGATGCGTGTGGACATTGTGTTCACGTGTGAACAGGTTCGTGTGTACACGCACATGAGAGAGAAGCGCTCTCTCTTTATGCACACACTTGAAGATATTGTGCGCATGAACGAACTGATGAGCAGAACGTATTTGAAACGCAGCAGCGCTGTATGCTTATGCTGTTGAATACTATATCCTGTGCATATGGTTCCTTCCCTGTAACAATACATATGCAACATAAATGAAAGGAAAGTGAATCAAGGGTTCAAGTTTTGTCGTTGTAAGGCACAACACAATAAAACCAGCAAGGGAAGTAGACGCAATATTATTTGCAGTATTTAGCTGCAGTTAAACTATAGCCTGGTGATTATGACATAAAGATAAATAATTTAAGGTGAAAGACAGCTTGCCATCAGTAGGAACCAAGACTACAACAGTGGTAATACGCGTGTGTGTGTGTGCATGCACACGCATGTTGTAAGACAGGGCCCAGTGCCAAGCGTCTAGCCCGAAAAAAATCTGGGATGAAGACTGAGATAGCGAATGGTATCCATAGTATTTATTTATTTATTTATTATTGAATACCCTCAGGGCCCGTAGGGCATTACAGAGGGGGTGGGTACAACATTTTATAACACACAAAAAAAGACAAAAAAAAGAAACAAGTGTCAGATGCGCAAATCACGAAGGCAACATAAATCAACTAAAAATGTATAAGTAAGAATTCAAGCACATACAAGACAAAGATAGATAATGGAAACTGCGTATAGTTACAAACATTGCTGAGAAATTGCAGTCTTGAATAACAAAGGGTCTGTTATTGTTACAACGGAAGAGGGAAGGTGGTTCCAATCAACGGCTGTTTTCGGTAAGAAGGCTGCTGAAAAGAATTTGGTGCGGCAAAACGGAATGGCAACCTTATGCTGATGATCAATGCGCGATGAGTGGTATGACGATTGTGAAATGAGGTCTCGCTTCAATGATGGATTGTGAAAAAATATCTTATGAAAAAAATGCAGTCGCACCAGTTTCCTCCGGACAGTTAAATTGGGTAGGTCAAGGTTAGATTTCATTTCTGATATGCTAGCAGTACGGGAATAATTAGAACAAATGAACCGAGCTGAGCGGTTCTGAACAGATTCTAACGCGTTGATTAAATTTTGCTGCACGGGATCCCATATAGCGGACGCGTACTCAAGCTTTGGGCGAATTAGTGATCGGTATAGTAGAATTTTGAGGAACAACGGAGCGCGAGAAAAGTTGCGGCGTAAGTATCCTAGCGTTCGGTTAGCGTTATTACAGATGTAGGTAACATGCGTGTGCCAAGATAGATTGTTGGTAATGTAAACGTCGAGGTACTTATATGAAGAGACATGCTGGAGGGGAACTGCGTTAATTCTGTAGGTACAGGGGGGAGAAATAGATCGCCGGGTTATTGACATGCATTTAGATTTTTTAGAGTTGAGAGTCATAAGCCATTTATTGCACCAGGTTAAGACAGTGTTAAGGTCCGACTGTAGAAATTGGTTATCTGATTCATTGTTTATTTCGCGGTAAATTACACAATCGTCTGCAAATAGCCTTATAGTGGAGTTAATGCTGTCGGGGAGATCATTAATATATATAAGGAAAAGTAAAGGGCCTAATACGGAACCTTGGGGTACGCCGGATGTTACTTTAGAAAGAGGTGAGTTATAGTCATTACTTGTTACAAACTGAGTGCGATTAGTCAGAAAGCATTCAATCCATTTAAGAATGTTCGGGTCAATGTTTAAGGCACTAATTTTCAGGAGGAGGAATTGGTGAGGTACTTTATCAAAAGCTTTATGAAAGTCAAGAAAAATGCAATGCACAAGTGAGCCACGATCTAAAGCCGATGCTATGTCATTAGTAAAATAAAGAAGTTGGGTTTCACATGAGTAACTTTTTCGGAATCCGTGCTGGTAGGGAGTAAAAAAAGAATTTGATTCTAGGAATGAGACAAGGTTGGAGTAAATTATATGTTCTAACATTTTACAAGGAACACTGGTTAGGGAAATTGGTCTGTAATTGAGAGGAGACTGTGTGTTACAGGAATTGTGCAGAGGGACCACCTTTCCCACTTTCCAGTCAAGCGGCAAAGTGGAGGTCTGAATAGATTGCGAAAAGATTCGGGACAAGTAAATTGATGAATACAATGCAGTGTTTTTTAGAAACTTTGAGTTGATTTCATCTACGCCACAAGAAGAGGATAACTTAAGCTTGTGAATTAAATTTTGCACTCCAACAGCATCAACGGTAACAGGATACATGGGTAAAAAATCACGACTAGGCATTTGTGGCAACGCAGAAGCAGAACAACTTGAAAAAGAAGTAACAAAAAAATCATTTAATGCAATGCAACACTCTTAACAGCGAACTGGCTGCCCGTTTGAGTTCGTAAGCGCATCAATGCAACAGTCAATTGCCTATCATGATATTGAAGAGTGCATCAAAATATTGAAAAACTGAACCCGTTCCAAGCTGTGAAAATCGTCAGACAGCGAAGCGGCAAGTGTGCGGGTGTGTGCCATGGGCAGGCGAAACCTGTCGTAAATCCGCCGGCCAGGCTTGAAAATCATGCTCACATCGGATTGGTCGGAGTAATATCACGTGCTTTGTGGCCTTGGGCAATATATTTTCAGCAAACGCGTCCAGTAATGCATTGACATGCATAACCAGATTTGAGGCAGCCCGCTTGCGAGAAATGTGCACCCACTTTCCTGCGGATGATCTGCGCCGAGATGGAGGTGCCGATGATGTGCGACTTGCGCATGTCGCCCACCCGGAACAGCAGGCAGAGCTTGCCGTCACGCAAGCACACCACGGCATTGCGGGAAAAGAGCAGCGTCTGTGAACGCTTCTTGGGACGCGACAGCTTGGCGAACACGATGCCCGCCATGAAGCACTGGATCATGACGCCTGTGATGGACTGCATGCACAGGATGAACACGGCCTCCGGGCACTCCGGTGTGATGGCGCGGCTGCCATAACCGATGGTGTGCTGCACATAGTGGGAAGTGCAGATCAGAGATGGAGACTCGTACAGTTGAAAGTTTTAGAATAGGGCACTTTGCGTTAGCATTTGTCGCCACTGTGCTTGCATCTTGCACAATTGCTTCTTTGTACTCACGTTAAATGACAGAAACAGCAGCTTGCGTACGTGACGTATGCAATCTTGAAGTACCCTATTCTAACTCTGCCTCTTATTGAACAGATTAAGTTGAGCGTCGGCAACAGCTTTGCGAACGCAGTCTGTCATAGGAAGTGGTGGCAGGCCGCGTCCCAACTAAATCTGGACGCCCAACTAAATCTGTCTATAATAGCGAACAAGTGACAGTAAAACACCTGACAACCTCACCCCATCCCACAAAAAGTAGAAAATACCCGCTACGTAAACAAAGGAAAAGGGCGCGTTCCCAGGGCGGCACCAGAATTCAACAAGGCGGCAGCAAACTTTAGGCCACCAGAAAACAATAACAACAAAAAATAAGTGCATGCAAACTTGCTCAGAACTGTTCTCGTTTAGCTTGTGGCACTGCACTTTACGATCATGGGTCACGACCACAGAAAACACAAAATCGACGTGGTTCAAAGCGGGGAATTCCGATGATGAGCCAGTAAAACGGCTAACACAGATGCCGGAGGCCTTACTTAATTTTGCTGACTACGTCGTCGCAGCTGGTACCTTGGAATACACATGCGAAAGGCCACTATCCTGCTTGCAGGACCTTGAAAACTAGCGTGGGCGTCTTGCGCCAGGTTCTGGTTGCAATCATTACGCAGGGCGCGAGGCATCAAAGTTTGATGACGTATTTCAGGCGCAAGAGCTCAATGGTAAAGCTGTCAACAGAATTAGATCAGGGTCGAATTCAAAGGGGGGGGGGGGGGTAGGGGTGATCCCCCTCCCTCTCTCAAACCCTGTCAGTACCGCCTTCCCTCTCTTCAGTGTTTGCAGTCCACCCGCTATCACCATTTAAGACAAGTGAGTGGGACCGATGTGAGCACACATTAATAGTATTTATGCCATTACAGGATTTTCGTGCTAGTAAAAACAAAAAAGTAATGACCACACCCCCTTTTTGGTGTTTATTTAAGGGACCCCCCCCCCCCTAAAATTGGGTGGCTGGATCCGCCCCTGGATTAGATGGCATGCTAACAGGCAAGTGTTGTATGAAGGATGTGCGCGATAGGGGCGTGGAGCAGGAAAGGGGACGAGGGCTATCGGAATGGTGCAGAAATGTGAAGTTGTCCATGAAATCAAAAGGGGCGTATTCCGGGTTGCGAGCGCTTGCTGAGTATTATATAGATAACCTTTACTTTCTCCTAATTTTACAGATAGCCTCTACACTACAGGGTGAAAAACGCCAACGATCCAAAATGGGGGAGGCCAGTCTTCAAAATTGTCAAGTGTATGTGCTGCTCACCTGCGTCTCCAGTGAAAAGAGAAATGCAGACGTGAAGGAGGTGACTTCGACGATGCAGGGCGTCCACTCGCCCTCGTGCGGGTCGAAGTCGCCGTGTGCGAACATGATGAGCCACCATATGATGGCAAACACTAGCCAGCTCAGGATGAAGCCCATCGAGAAGACCATGAGGTTCCACCTCCACTGAATGTCAACCTGGCAGGAAGCGCATAGAAAAACAACAAAAGCTTCTAGTTCAGCACTAAAAGAACAATCTTGTTTGTATAATGAGGAACAAATTTTCATGTGGTGACAAACTGTGGTTTATGCAAAGGAAATTTATAGAAAATTATCGATTACATGCGAGACAGATTACTTTATAATCAGTGCCATGGTGTTTGGTTATAGTAAATAAAAGTTTTCCCTATGTTTGCTTTTGCTTGGATGTACAAAGCAAGATAGCTTTTATCAATCTTTACATCTTGAACAGCTACCCGACGCTGGGGGAAAAATTCATAAGCCTGTGCAGGGTTGACCATAATGAAGGGCCAATGTACTATTAGACCACCATAACGGGTAAAGTTCTTATTTGCAGCCGGTGAAGCATACCGTAAGGCTAAGGAAAAGAACAAAAGAAAGACACATTCAACACAACATGGTGCCGTGTTGTGTTTTGTTAACTGAGTCTATCTTTTGTTCATTTCATGACCTAGCATCAATTTTCATGCTATACCAAGAAGCCCGAACTGACGCCCTTATTGTATGCCTTCAACTCACCAGGGTAGTGAAGATGTCCTGCAGGTAACGCTGGGAGCGCTTGTATACGTGTTCCTTGGAGAGATTGACGCTGCCGTTCTTGAAGATGACTCTCTTGCGCACCCTGCTCGGGATGATCTTGGCCTTCTGGTAGCGGACCACGGGCGAGTCCTCGGCCCCGTTGCCTCCGTTGCCGGCCGCGTCGGCGCATCGCGGGAAGCCATTCAGCGACAGGTGCTTGGTCAAGATGCGCCGGCTGCTCGTGCTAGTCTCACCCTGCACGGGAACGTTTCACACCTGTCATCACATGGACATACGCAACGCCAATACAGTAGCCAGTAGCCAGAGGAGGGGGTGAGTCATTTGCCCATAGGCATGCACAGGGTTCCATTTTAGGGGGGAGGGGCGAAGGTTCATTGTGCACCCCCTTTTCTAATATCAATGTATGGGGCCGTCTTGCCTCCTACTTAGATTACTTAGGTGACCCCTGCCGCCCTTGTGTGCACGCCTATGGCGTGCACACAAGGGCGGCAGGGGTCACTTAAGTAACCTAAGTAACACAAGGGCGGCAGGGGTCACCTAAGGCCGGCAGGGGTCACACAAGGGCGGCAGGGGTCACACAAGGGCGGCAGGGGTGACCCCTGCCGCCCTTGTGTGCACGCCTATGGCACCATTGATGATGATGACGCATGGGCATAGACAAAATTTTATTTTGCAGCTTTGCTCCTTAGCCTGCACACCGACGTCGAAGCTTCACGCCACTCACACCCCCCTCTCTCTTTTTTCCCTCTCTGCCCTCAAACCAGCGCACGCGCGAAACCATCGCTTCACCATGTCTTCGACCCCATGGCATTGTGAGGGTTCCACTCCACCCACTGGTTTTTTTGTTGCCTTGGATGGATCGCGCTGCACTGGGCGTGCCACAAACTCACTCGTTCAGTCGTTTGGCCAGATAAGGCGCATAGCCGATTGCGTCCTATTTCTAAAGATCCGCTTCGCTCATCGGTTGTATTCGCGAACCGCTAGTTTTTTTTTTTTTTTTTTTCATGGAGTAGTAAGTGACGAGTTCAACTAACGTTTATTTATGTCTGGGTGTATGTTTGTATGAATTTATTGCATGTACCACCGCAGCACTGAAAATTTTCATTGATTTGAACCACCCCATTTTCTCAACTACACTAATGTTCGGCGCCAAGTGGGGGCGGGTCAGGGGAGCGGTGTTTCAATCGGATAATTGAGGAGGGCTTTGGCGTACATACGTACGTACCTGGTTGCTGGGCGTCTCGTAGTCCGAGTCTCCTGCGACGCCCACTCCGCCAGCAGAGTGGACGCCATGGCCCCGAGAGATGAGCTGCTGCCATGCCTGGCCGTTCTCCATCTCCATAAACTTCATCATCGGCCGCCGTTGCCGCAAGCAGCACGGCCCGCGCGAACTTCCCCACCTGCCAGCACGACCGTCGTGTTGCTCGTTGCTGAGGTCACCTCCCTATATGATCCCACGTCTTTGTCAACCTCCCTGCGTGCACCGTCAAGGGCGTCAGCAAAGCAGACCCGCAGCTAACCGTGAAGGGTGCAAAGATGGCTAACCGTAAATACCGTAAATAGACTATCTCGATGGGCCAGTCGTAAAGCATGTAAAGAAAGTTACTCTGGACATGGGCTTAGGCAGTACTTTTTCTGGAGGGGGGGGGGGGGGGGCACCTCATTAATTTCCGTGGTCTGAGTTACCCCTTGAAGTGGTAATTTTTCGCAAAGAAAGTGCAAACATAAACTGAAGCTTACACTGACACGAGAGTTCAAGCAAAAGGGTGTAGAGGAAGCCACACGAGTATTGCCGTAAAGTGTGTGAAACATAAGACGATGATTACCGCGAATTGTGCAAAGCGAGCGAATACGAGGCGAAGTGTTAAGGGCGTAAAAAAGTCTACATGAGGCCCACCTCAAAGGGCGTAAAAGCCGTTCGCTTCACCACGCGCTGCACTTTCACACAAAGGACAGTACAAGTCACATATGCCCTTCGTGTGAAATGGAGGTGTAGTAAACGGAACATTGCTGTGCCAGCAAGCTCAAGTCAAAGACTTGTTGAACGTGTAAAGAAATCCATAGCACGAGGATAACGGCTAAATGTCCAACAAAAGCTTTGCCAAAGCTCATCGTAAAAGGTGCAAAGATAGCTGATGAGGCTTACCCTATTTGGAGTTAAAAATCTGAGCAGCGGCTTAGCGGTGAATATGTGTAAGACGCGACTTACCAGGAAGGGTGTAGAGAAAGCCGAAGCTTATATCATATAAGATGCGTAAGGAGAGACGTAAGTCGAAGCTTATCGTAAATTGCGTAAAAAAGAAACTAACGCGAGGGCTGCCGTTAAATGCGTAACGCAGAACTGTAGGACGAGGCTAAAGTGTCTAAAGAAAGCTAACACAAGGCTGACTTTAAGAGGGCGTAAAAAGAACTATGTGTCTTTTTACACCTTTACAGGGTGTAAATAAACCCAACACAGGACTGGCCACGGGGTGTGTAAAGAAAGTTAACTCTAAACGCTTAACATTCGCATACCTGTTGCCTTTAGTGCCCAGGAGCAGCAGTCAGGAGCTGGACGAAGGCGAGTCTCTGAAGGTCATGTCGTGCAGGTGCCGTGTCCGAAGTTGATTGTATGACCTGTGCAGGAACACTGTTGGTGCCTTACTTAGTCTACCCCTTCTAGCAAGTTTGCCCCTGCCTTTCTTGCAACTTTTGACGGTGTAGCAGTTTTCCCTGACAGGCCACGTGAGGTAAAACAGGACTCTTCGCGGGTCAGTCAAGGCTTTACCAGCATGCAGTGCTCGATTCCGATGTGGCGGCTACCCGGAGGAGCAGGAATTGGGCAACCTCCAGGTCGCTGGCAGGGTTCTGCAAAGATTTGGTTTTGTACGGTTATTTCTTCTGTGATAATCATTTCACGCGACAGAAGAACAGACGACTAGACAGTTTTCTCATTCATCTGGCATAGAAATGCTTACGTACTTAATGTAGGCGACGGCTTAGAGCACTGCACACAGTGGTGGCACACCAGCACACCCCCCCCCCCCCCCTTTCTCTGAAGAAAAAAAAAAAATTCTGCATACACCCGTGACTGCACACGCTCCACCACCGTGGAATAGCTGTGCGTCTACGACAACCATATTTATTTATTTAATTAATTTGCCCACCAGCCATCAGCAACTGATGAGAGGCCCTTAGCACAAGTGGTAACAAAGATGAGGAAAAAATGTGTGCAAAAATAGGAACTTAATCAGCATGAAATCGCGATAAAGTGAATGAAACCATGAACGTCCATCCTTCCTTCCTTTCTTTCTTTCTTTCTTTCAACGAGAAAAACAAAATGAAACTTGTTGGTATTACTTCAAACCCAGAGGCGGTGTGATTACGCGAAACTTCGATTATTAAATTTCAAAAGTGTACCTATTCGATTCGCAAGCCACTTCTACTGTCCGAAACATCCCAACTCCACAAAAGTTTATAGCAAGTAGTGAAACCAGCACACACACACACACAAAAAAAAATGTGTGATAAATAGAGCCCTAACAGCATGACATTATCTAAGGCCGATGACATGGTCTTGCAATAGAATGCCGAAAATCTACTGAAAAAGAAAAAAATCTCAGAAACACATGAGAAGCTACTGCAAAATTAAGAACAAATGACTAAATGAATTACTCTGGGTTACGTTAAGATGAAGCAATGGGAATGAACACCATGCCTAAAAACTTCCTTTGTATTATCTGCCGTACAACAAGCTAACCTACATATTCATGTCTAATCGGTGCTATTTTTTTTTGCAGAATGCAGCAGTTATACTTGTAATATTAGACAAAATTCGTATGATATTCAATTCGTTCTAATTATGCATTATTCTAATTCCCTTCGCACTTGATGTTCGCGCACCCACATTGAAAAAAATGGCAGCATATCCACGGAGTGAATGATGGAGAGTGGGGCGAAGCATTCGTCCGTCCATTCGTTCTTGCTTCGTCCGTCCATGCGTCCGTCTATTCACTCGTCCGTGCGTGCGTCTGTTCGCGCGTCCGCACGTCCACCTGTGCGTCCGTGCCTGCGTTCGTCCATGCATCCGCCCCTGCGTCCGTCCGTCGGTGCAGCCATCCGTGAGTACGTCCATGCATCTGTCTTGTGTGTCCGTTCGTCCATCTATTCAACCCTCCAAGTACCACTATCTCGCATGTTTTCATCATATATTCCGCATATGCACCGCAATCCAGCGGACATTCCAAGGACTAAACGAGAGGTGGCACACGCACACTTTCTTACGGCTTGCGCTTCGGGTCCACTTCCCACCTTTAACCACCTCGAGTTCATGGTATATAAAAGTTCACTGTATTCATGGCACTGCTGCCCAACGCTCGCTAAACCTTTCTAAAACCAAGGAGGTTATGCTCAGCGAGTATAACGTAGCAAGCTTTTTTTGTCAGATAGTGCTCAATGTATATGCCAATGGCTGCTAAGGGGGAATGAGAGACGGGAGAATTCGGCTTTTAGGTAACGCGCACACTGCGATTTTTTCATTTTTCAACAACGCACAGAAGAAATCTCTCACCGGCACCACCTTGGAGGTCAAAATGTAAGACTGGTTACACACTACGACTACTACAACAACTTCGAGGGACGAACCCCTAAAATTCGGCCCAACGCACCTGGCTTGAAGCTTCCTTTCCGATGAGAGAGAAGAAAATGCACGAATACCACGGCCCTCCACACACACAAACGCTGACAGGCGTTTGTCTTTCACTTCTTGCGAACGAAATGATTGATTTGTGGGGTTTAACGTCCCAAAACCACCATATGATTATGAGAGATGCCGTAGTGGAGGGCTCCGGAAATTTCGACCACCTGGGGTTCTTTAACGTGCACCGAAATCTGAGCACACGGGCCTCCATTTCCGCCTCCATCGGATTCCCGGCTGCGGCGGCTGCATTTCCGCCTCCATCGGAAATGCAGCCGCCGCAGCCGGGAATCGAACCCGCGACCTGCGGGTCAGCAGACGAGTACCTTATCCACTAGACCACCGTGGCGGGGCCTTGCGAACGAAATGTAAACACGTGCTTTTCTTGCTCAACCACTTCCAAACGTTGGCGGGAAACAACGTTTTCAAACGCGCGCTCGGCGCCCTCCGTGATTGGCATCGCGCATGATGATGATGATGGTAATGAGGTCATTCCCTTTGTAACAGGCGGGCACACTTTGTCACCCTAGCCGATAGTAAAAAAAATACAAAGAAAATAGAAAAATAAAATACAGACTGGGCGGGTTGCCGAGTTGAGAACCCTCCCGAAGTCCCCGGAGAGCATTTTGAGGTCGCCTGGCGCCCCCTGTACTTCGCAATGCGCATGCCGAGATTGCATTTGGAGGTCATGCCGCGATCCTACAGCGTTTTTGTTCAATTCCGTCCTTTCGGATCCTCTCCGTACGCAACGGGGTCATTGGAATAAGAAGCTCGCCGCGTCGAGATCACAACGTCTCCGGCCTCCCGCCACCACCGTCAAGCGGTGGTTCCGGTTGAAACCGCATCGGAACGGATCTGGAACGAAAGTGCAAGGACGCGCCGACCGACCGGCCGCTTCGGTTCGTCATAGCGCGCCGCAAAGAACATATCCGCAGCAGGCGTGCAGTTTCCTATCGGCCTGGATGTGAACGAGCCGTATTTCATACCGAAGGCCAACGGCCGATAGACGCACCAGCGGTATGGTCAACAGCAACCGACATTGAAGACGCGCGCTAATTAGGCAAAGCTTCTGCGACTCACTGATACGCGCGTGAAACCGTTAACCCCATATGTCAAATCGTACGCGTACAAGAAAGAGAGAGAGAGAAATGACCGCAGTTTCCCGAGTGGGAACACTGGTTAGCATGCGGAGCATATATGTTGAACTGCGATAAACGTGGTTTGTCATTTGCGACATGCGTGTGTGTTATGAGTGAACACGCACGCACGTATGCTGCGAAAGACGATGTGTATTGATGAGACGTTTTGGTATTTTGAGCAAGATGGCTTTATGGTCCGTAAAGTAATGGGTAAGTGGGTCTGGTTGCAGTGGTCAAGGTCGAAATTTGCAAAGACGTGGTCGATGCATGTCCCGCGAACCGTGGCCGGATGATGTTTGCCGTCGTGCGTTGCTCGTTTCAGCGAGTGCCGCGACTCCTTGTCGACCACCCAATCCGTCCTTGATGACGTCTACGTTGAAGTCACCAACTATCACGAAGGGTCGTCGTTGCGGTCGTTGTTTCAGGTGTTCTTCCACGGCTTCGTCGACGTACTTTTGTAGTTTAGATTTTTTTTCTGGGTGAAGGGGTCAGTCAAGCTGTGAAATGCAGCTTTTTTCCCTTCGCACCAAACCACGTATACAGCGTATTTTTGTGTACTTGTCACGTGGTTGAATAAACTCAAACTCAACTACTTCTCCACGGTGGCACGCGATAGGTTGGGCGCGAGTTACATCGTCATGACGTCGACTCCGCAGACGCTAGCGACGCAGTACTCGCCATTGGCGCGTTGTTGAGCGCGGAGGGGAGAAGCGAGCGCAGCGCGCGCTGTGTTGAGAGGAGGAAGGGATGCACAGATGGCTGGCAGAGGAGGAGGGAAGGCTGCGGACGGCGACGGCGCATGACTAGCCTCTAGTACAACATGCTCCGCATGTAAAAAATATTGAAAAAAAAACAGGAGAGGTGCAGCCCTTTAGAGGCTTCATAGTGGGTGGAGTCCTTGTTCCAGGACCCCTTTACCGGCACTTGCTAACCTAGCCCTCTGGACCAGGGCCCTTTGGCTTGAAGGTCTGCGCAACCTAGCAGGGTCGCCTCCCACTTCTCTCTGGTTGGGTTAGGGCTGGGGGGAAGAGCTGAGTTCAGCTGGCAAGCCCAAACGATGTGGTAGGTGTCAGCCACCTGCCCACAGTATTGGCATTCGCCAGTGAGGAGGAATCAAAATGTTGCATGATTGCCGGGCACAATAAAGTATTGTCGAAAAGTCTCAGCGAGGTGCGTTCATTAGCCTTTCCCAGCCCCTTTGCGGGAGGTGGGTATTGACGATCCTGATTCCTGCCAAAGGTCGTAATATCTTTCGCAGCGCCAGAGAGGGGGACTGAAATGCGCGCGGCGAAGGTGCACACGTTGTGTGCGTGCCTGTACGCTTCGTTTTAGGGGCGAAGCTCCTTATAGCGGCACCCGTTCGTCCCCCGTAGGATGTAACAAGTATAACACTTTTGACCTCCAAGGTGGTGCCGGTGAGAGACTTCTTCTGTGCGTTGTTGAACAATAAAAAATAGTGCTCAATGTACATGTCAACGGCTGTTTATGGGGAATGAGAGACAGGAGCATTCAATTTTTAGTTAACGCGCAGGCTGCGATCACCATTAGCAGCCATTGGCATGTACATTGAGCACTATCTGACAAGAAAGGGTTGCTACGTTATACTCGCTGGGTGTAACCTCCTTAGCTTTAGAAAGGTTTAGCGAGCGTTGAACCGTAGTGCCATGAATACAATGAACTTGTATATACCATGAATGAACTCGAGGTGGTTAAAAATGGGAAGTAGATACGAAGCGCAAGCCGTCAGAAAGTAAAAGCCGAATTCTCCGCCTCTCATTTCCCATAAGCAGCCATTGGCATGTACATTGAGCTCTATCTGACTGAAAAAGTTTGCTACGTCATACTCGCTGGGCGTAACCTCCTTGGTTTTCGAAAGGTTTAGCGAGCGTTCGGCCGCAGTGCCATGAATACAGTGAACTAGTATATACCATGAACTCGAGGTGGTTAAAGGTGGGAAGTGGACCCGAAGCGCAAGCCGTAAGAAAGCGTGCGTGTGCCACCTCTCGTTTAGTCCTTGGAATGTCCGCTGGATG